GTGCTCTCCAGATTCTCACCTCTGTTAATGTTATCATGCAATGTGATTTTTACTTCTCTTACTCTTCTGTAATGCAGTTTGGACTTACGTGATAATGTGGAATGTCTTCCAAAATGGCAAGGCTCTTTGTATCTTCATAACAAATACTAGGCCTCATTTCTACATAGCATTCCCCAGTGACACTCTTAGCAAAAAGGGTTCCAAAACAACAACGCCCAAAAAAGAAATTAAGTTTCTATAACAACAGCAGAACCCTTTTCCGATCCATTTTTAACCCACCCCCAACATGCCTTTAACTTTTAGGTCACATTTTGTTTGCTGTAATGGTTATGGCTTGTTTTTGGATTGTAGAACTGCAATAAGTAGAAATACAGTCAGTAAAAAATAATGGAGTCAAATCTTAATGACCAGAGTTTTTATTGTTTCCAATCTAAACTCACGGGGCTTTCTTTACAGATATACTATCATAGGATAAAATGTCACAAACTTAACCATGTGTCATTCTCTGTTAGTCTATTCCTGCTATGTTTGATGAATTTTGTTGCGAACTACATTTTCTGTCACGGAGAATCGCATCAATCAGTCATTTGAACAAATGTAGTCTCCACAAAACGCATGTCTTTGGCAAGATCAGGACCAAGGAGCGCATGTCTCTGTCATGAATGAGAAATCCGTTCAGCGGGGAGTCGACAAGTCCCGCTGTGCTGACAGCTGTCTTTATATCAACTTGGAGCGAGTCTGAGATGCGTGGTAGAGTTGCGAAAGTACAAGGAGTCAGCTCTTTTGCAGGCTTAACTTTTTCATTCCTGTGGACATATGTCACAGTGGATCCTTTCATTTATTATTCAGCTGCGTGGATTGAAAAACACACAAATAATCCTTTCCTATGGTTCAGCTGGCAACTGGCGGTAAGAACGCATCTGGAAACATTATTCACTGACAAATCGAGCCTGTGCTCTTACTTGGGAATGAATATATTTTCCAAAAATGCACGAATCCATTAATTATTTCGAGAGGACTAACAAAAATAACTGAAACTGTTTTGCATGCAGTCAGATGGATTAAGCAAGACAGATGAATTTAGAAAAAAAAGTTATTTATGACAAATAATTATAAACACAGAATTATCTATAATTTACAATGAATAATGTTAATGACATACTTCTAAGAATCCAGCAACATACACACATGGACACAGTGTTTAAAACCTCAATTCTTTGTACACACACACACACACATATATATATATATATATATATATATATATATATATATATATATATATATATATATATACATATTCTCAATTCTTTGTATATACAGTGATGTGAAAAAGTGTTTGCCCCCTTCCTGATTTCTTATTCTTTTGCATGTTTGTCACACTTAAATGTTTCAGATCACCAAACAAATTTAAATATTAGACAAAGATAACACAAGTAAACACAAAATGCAGTTTATAAATGAAGGTCTTTATTATTAAGGGAAAAAGAAATCCAAACCTACAGGGCCCTGTGTGAAAAAGTGATCCCCCCCCCATTGTAATCCATTAATTATTTCGAGGGGACTAAGAAAAATAACTGAAACTGTCTTGCATGCAGTCAGATGGATTAAGCAAGACAGATGAATTCAGAAAAAAAGTTATTTATGACAAATAATTATAAACACACAAAATTATCTACAATTTACAATGAATATATATATATATATATATATATATATATATATATATATATATATATACAAAGATTCTCAATTCTTTGTATATACAGTGGTGTGAAAAAGTGTTTGCCCCCTTCCTGATTTCTTATTCTTTTGCATGTTTGTCACACTTAAATGTTTCAGAACACCAAACAAATTTAAATATTAGACAAAGATAACACAAGTAAACACAAAATGCAGTTTATAACTGAAGATCTTTATTATTAAGGAAAAAAGAAATCCAAACCTACAGGGCCCTGTGTGAAAAAGTGATTGCCCCCCCACATAAATTAACTGTGATTTATCACATCTTTGGAAAGCTGAGTTCAATTTCCCTAGCCATACCCAGGCCTGATTACTGCCACACCTGTTCTCAATCAGAAAAATCACTTAAAAACTGCCTGACAAAGGGAAGTAGAACAAAAGATCCTCAAAAGCTAGACATCATGCTGCGATCCAAAGAAATTCAGGAACAAATGAGAAACAAAGTAATTGAGATCTGTCAGTCTGGAAAAGGTTATAAAGCCATTTCTAAAGCTTTGGGACTCCAGTGAACCACAGTGAGAGCCATTATCCACAAATGGTGAAAACATGGAACAGTGGTGAACCTTCCCAGGAGTGGCCGGTCGACCAAAATTACCCCAAGAGCGCAGCGACGACTCATCCAAGAGGTCACAAAAGACCCCATAACAACATCCAAAGAACTGCAGGCCTCACTTGCCTCAGTTAAGGTCAGTGTTCATGACTCCACCATAAGAAAGGAACTGGGCAAAAATGGCCTGCATGGCAGAGTTCCAAGACGAAAACCACTGCTGAGCAAAAGGAACATAAAGGCTCGTCTCAGTTTTGCCAGAAAACATCTTGATGAATTTTTGGGAGAATACTCTGTGGACTGATGAGACAAAAGTTGAACTTTTTGGAAGGTGTATGTCCCATTACATCTGGCGTACAAGTAACACAGCTTTGCAGAAAAGGAACATCCTACGAACAGTAAAATATGGTGGTGGTAGTGTGATGGTCTGGGGCTGTTTTGCTGCTTCAGGACCTGGAAGACTTGCTGTGGTAAATGGAACCATGAATTCTGCTGCCTACCAAAAAATCCTGAAGGAGAATGTCTGGCCATCTGTTTGTGAAGCTCAAGCTGAAGCGCACTTGGGTTCTGCAGCAGGACAATGATCCAAAACACACCAGCAAGTCCACCTCTGAATGGCTTAAGAAAAACAAAAGTAAGACTTTGGAGTGGTCTAGTCAAAGTCCTGACCTGAATCCGATTGAGATGCTGTGGCATCACCTCAAAAAGGCGGTTCATGCTTGGAAAACCCTCCAATGTGGCTGAATTACAATAATTCTGCAAAGATGAGTGGGCCAAAATTCCTCCACAGTGCTGTAAAAGATTCATTGCCAGTTATTGCAAACGCTTGATTGCAGTTGTTGCTGCTAAGGGTGGCCCAACCAGTTATTAGGTTTAGGGGGCAATCACTTTTTCACACAGGGCCCTGTAGGTTTGGATTTCTTTTTTCCTTAATAATAAAGATCTTCAGTTATAAACTGCATTTTGTGTTTACTTGTGTTATCTTTGTCTAATATTTAAATTTGTTTGGTGATCTGAAACATTTAAGTGTGACAAACATGCAAAAGAATAAGAAATCAGTAAGGGGGCAAACACTTTTTCACACCACTGTATGTATATATATATATATATGTAGCTCATCTGTTGCGGCACAGTTTGTTTTGGTCATCCTGTAGTCCTTCATCAGTGGGCACAGGATGCTGCCCACAGGAGACTGTTGGCTGGATATTTTTGAACTATTCTCAGTCCAGACATGACACTGAGGATGCAATAACTGTACATACAAGGTAGCTGAGCCTAATAAAGTGCTCAGTTAGTGTATGACACAAAGTGTTTGGACAATGACATCATTTTGGCTCTATACACCACCACAATGGATTTGAAATAAAGCAGTCAAAATGTTTTTGAAATATAAACTTTCAGCTTTAATTCAAGGGGTTTAAGAAACACCTTGCATTAACCGTTTAGGAATTACAGCCAATTTTTTGGAAGCTATGGAAGGCAGCTACAGTAATGGCCTGGGGATTTGCGTCCAAGTATTAAAAACAATTCTTGCTTTTATAGTTATGTTGGTTTGTCCAATTACTTTTGAGCCTATGGAAATGGAGGGACTTTGTAAAAAAGCTATGTAAGCTATGTAGGCTGTAATTTCTAAACGGTTAATGCAATATTTTTGTTAAACCCCCTGAATTAAAGTGAAAGTCTACACTTTAATCACATCTTGACTGCGTCATTTCAAATTCATCGTGGTGGTATATAGACTACAAAGGTAAAATTACAAAAATTATGTTTCTGTCCAAATTCTTTTAAAAAAAATAGCAAAAATATACAATATGCCATAACTTTTTCATTGGTTACAATTTTTCCCTCAAAATGTTAAATTCAGTAAATAGTCATTGTGCGTTAAAATGTACAGAAGTGTGTCGTCTGTTCTTTTAAAAATGTTTGCACTTCTGAAATTTGACAGTATGTCTGACGTTTACACATTACTGATATAATTGTTGCATTTAAATATCAAAAGTGTCCAAATTTCGTATAGAAATATAATCAGAAAATACATAGACACAAATATGTGGCAGGAAGGGTGCAAAGAATTAAAAGTGATTCTGCTATAGAATTGTGGAGGCATGTATGAGTCTAGTTAAAAAAAAGACTCGTGATTTAAATACCATATTTGGTAAAAGACTTGGTAATACAACTGTTTTTTTTTATTAAACCAAGAACATATTGAGACACACAGCCAGATGTTCTCAAGCAAAGGGTTACTGAAATCTAAAATGCAGAAATAGCAGAACAGAAACGTTATTAGTAACATATTAACCTTGAGTAGCACTTCTTAGAAGGATTTATAAAACAGAATTCATATGTTACGTCTGTTACTATCATGTATCCATCTAGCAGATATTCAAAATGATGGTCCACTTGAGCTTAGTGGGATCAATATGACCCAATAGAGCAGATGTAGGTTTGTTTCGTGTCTAGCAGTAGTTTGCTGAAGAGCCCTACTGCCATTTCTGAAAAACAACCACCAAACAAAGGAGAAAAAACCTTAAATGAAGCATCATTAAACAATGACTGGCTCTGTTTGGTGTGTCTTTGGCAGCCTGTCTGCCCCACATCAGTGCAACCAATTAGAACGACTCCATAACAAGTAGAGAACTGCTTGTTAAAAAAAAAAAAAAGAAATTTCATTTGTAGCTGCATGACGGCAGTCATTGCTCCTAGTAACTGATGGAAAGGTTAGTAAACAATATACTTAAAAATGTAAAAAAAATAGATGTTACTAGTAAGAAAAATAAAAATTAATAGTAGTAGAAATTACTATTGTCTTTATAATCACTTCATTGTTTGTTAATTTTTCTTGTCTTGACAAATGTGATAATGATTAAAAACACACAATAAATACATTACAGAAGCAATGAATACATGCTTATCTGAGGGAAATAAGCACTTCATGCAGTACAAAATCAATATGTTTGTCTGAGGCACTCTGAGGAAAATGGTTTGTAAGAGGTCACCTCTGTCAGAGAGAGCTCAGCTGAGAGTGAGGCAGACTTGCAGGTTGTGATATAGCCAGGGTTCAGTGTATTGCACTGAACGGTTTGCGTAGACCGCATACCACTGCTTTACCATCAGCAATGATAGCTGCTGTGTCCGCTCTGTCTGCTTTGTGTGTGTGTGTTTGCACATGTTTGTGTGTGTATGTGTGTTTAAGTCTTTTTCTGGCAGTGGCGGCCGAGTCTCCAGCAGTAGCAGATAGAGTTGAAGAATCGGCAATGGCAAGATGCGCAGGGGTCACAGCAGCGCGAGTGAGGAAAACAGCTTTCTGACACTCTGGAGCAACGAGGAGTTTCCGGCACAGCATCTACACGAGGTTTCTGAATTAAACACACACATGGACACGATTGTTTTTGTACAGTTTATATATGTATGTGAGTAATAATAATAGCAATAATGATAATAATGTGACACATATTGTGTATTCTATATACAGTAACCACCCTGTTGATCTTTAATATCCAGTCAAAACATAAAGAACAAGTTATTATTTTTTCAGCATCAGGAAACAGATACTTAACAGCAAATTACACAAAAGCCTAAGTAACTAAATACAATCTGTTTAGTATTTTTTCAGTATTTAGTGTCCACGCTTTACCTTCATAATAGCTTCTTTTCAGGAGACTTGCTTTCAGTTTTTTAAAGCAAACATAAAAATATCTTGCTTCTCAAAAATGCTCCAAACTTCAGACAGTAATGGTGGTCTACCAGGTCTTGCACGAATTTTTAGAAGTTCCATTTTTTTCTGTATCATTTCTGTTAACACTCCTGCTTTTCACTTTTTTCCTTTGACTTACTTTCCCTTTCCTTATGCAAGTGTATTTTCTTTTATCTAGTCTCCTCAGAGATTTCTCTTTTTAGCCATTTTAGATGCTCATGAGAAAGGTGAGTTTGGGTAGTTCTTGTGTGAATGTGTCTCTTTGAAGGGGAACATAATGTTAGTGACTCTTTGTGAACAGCTTTGGATGGGATGCAGCCGTAACTGGTTGGTTTTAAGACTAGAAGGATTGAAGAGGTAAAGTGGCAGTAGAGTGAACAAAAGTAAAAAGTGGACAAACTGATTGCTGAGACATTTGACATTATTCTTGGTGTTGAAGACATTTGTGTAATTTTTTGTAAAATATATTTTTCCTTCTGAAAAAAGAATAACTTACTTTCCACTGAGCAGGTTTTATCCTGACTAGTATATGTGATAACGGCTCAAATGGCAGTGAAAAAGAGGCCCGTATGTGTAAAACCTGCAGACAGCTCTTCTCATTAGTGAATTCAGCTACTTTAAGGTGCACTGTGCACATACTGATCGTATAATCTCCATCGAAAAGCATTGCCAGCAGAATGGAAATATCTGTAGCCGAAGCACATGAGCCTAAGGTCGCCATGCCCACAAGAGATGAAGGGGTATTAAGCCTTTGGCATGAGTTGGAGTGGTGTTTGTGATCCAACATCAGTACCTGACCTCACTAATCCTTTTGTGGCTGAACGCAATCAAATCCTCACAGCAATGTTCCAACATCTACTCTAAGGACTTCCCAAAGAAGTAGAGACTATTACTGCAGCAAAGGAAGACAAATTCCCTATTAATACACTTGAATTTAGAACAAACACTGGAGGTGATGTCTACAAGCTTTTGGACGTACAGTGTACACCTTGAAATCTTGTTTTGTGGACTCTAAACACTTTGATTTGCCCCCTAAGGCAAGTGCCCAAAGCCATAGGCCAAAACAATATTCTAATACATTTATTCTGAAACAGTTTCTTTTAGATGCTTCAAAAGCTTAGAACTGCTTGACTCATTTGTCATCTTAGACATTTTCTGTTTGCTTTTTTCTAGTGGCTAAAACTGAAAGATGGACAGAGACAGTCTGTAAGATTTTATTTGTGATCTATGTGAAAGAGAAAAGTAGAGGGGCCATCACAGCGGATGGGTGAAGTTTAAGAGATCAGACTCTATTTGCAGCGTAATGCAGTTGGGGTGGACAGAGAAACTATACTTTAAGAGATAACATTAAGAGGATATGTTTTGTTTTTTAGTGGCATGTGATGCATTTTTCTTTTTTAAATGTACTTGAGTAAGGCTACCAGTGGTGGACGAAGTACACAAACCATGTAATTGAGTTAAAGTAGAGATAAAATATTACTCCAGTAAAAGTTCCTCCCTTTAGACCTCCACTTCAGTAAAAGTACAAAAGTATTTGCCTTCAAATGTACTTAAGTATCGAAAGTAAAAGTACTAAAAGATTAATTATGACTCTAATGTCCTATTATCATTTTTGTAACAAGACTCCAGTGTCACTCTTGGTAAACCAATCTATTAATAGAATGTCATTAATCAGTCTGACACTGATGTCTATTACAATTATAAGAACAAAACACTGAAGGCAAACAATCTCCATTAGGTAGAACCGAGGGGCTCTGAAATAACATTTTGCGAACAAGCAAAGTTTCAGTTTAAGATTTAGTTGCAACTTAGTTACAAGTTTGAGTTTAATAAAAACTTGCTTTAAACTCAGATTCACAAATGAGTTTTCCTTTACTAAACTGCATCTGTAGGTCTCTGTTCATACACATAAACTAGCAAAAACAAATTTACTATAGCATGAAATAATGTTTGTATAAATTCAGAAAATAGACACGTCAGTCACAACTGCATATGTGTACATATTTCTAGATTGTGGTCTATTTACACAAAGTTAGGTTAGTTCCATCATTTATGTTGGAACAGACTCTCCCAAAATTTTATGCCTCTGCACTGACGTTGAACCGTATGCTTGCACTAGGTTGGTATGTCCAACAGGTCAAAACAAGCTCAAAACTAAGTGTGCGCTGTGCCCGATTGGTGTTTTTGCTTCGCTATTCTTTCATTTTGACGTGTTACGTTTTTATACACACATAAGCCAAAAGGAACGACAGATTTCGCTAAATGTAGTGGAGTAAAAAGTAAGATATTTGACTTTGAAATGTAGTGGAGTGAAAGTAAAAAGTCACCAAAAATGGAAATATTTCAGTAAAGTACAGATACACAAAAAAACTACTTAAGTACAGTAACAAATTACATTTACTTTGTTACTGTGCACCACTGAAGGGTACAAATAATCAATTTCAGTAATACTGGGGTACAGTATAAGTCGTCCAAGTAAGTCAAGTAGTTTCCACGCATACATGCAATAAACTTTCAGTAAGTATTAAACAAGTTAAGTGAACTCTGAGCTCTTTAGGGCTCTATCTTTCTATATTTTTTATATATTGTAAAACAGGGGTGTCCAATCTTATCCGCAGAGGGCCGGTGTGGCTGTAGGCTTTTATTCCAACAAAGCAGGAGATCACCTGATGAAATGTTTGAAGACTAAGACCAACTGAATAAAGAATCAGGTGTGCTACAGCTTATTTGGAGTGAAAACCTGCAGATAAACTGGCCCTTTGCGGATAAGATTGGACACGCCTGTTGTAGGGAATCCTTTGTCATGGGAAGGTAAAGTCACATTCACTTTTTTACCCACATTCACTTTTTTTATACAATACCCAAATGTATTATATTTTCATTAAAATGTCACAAGAGCTCAGAGTAACTTTTCTACATCATTACAAAAGCAATGAATGAAAGGGTTCATTGTTTACAATAATGGTCTCTTAAAGGGAACACTGACTGTTAATAAATGTAAGCCTCAATATGGTGTACATGTCCAATACTGTTGAAATATTTTGTAAATATTTTGTATATTGTAAAAAATATTTATTATTAAAAAATAGACAAAAGTTCTCTACTTGTACGTTGCTGTTTTTTTTTGTGGTATCAAATAGCTGCTCTCTCTCTTTTGTCCATTCAGAAATGAACAGCAAGCTAAAAAACTAATTCAATTCAAATACATCATTCAGCCTTTCTAACTTTAGGTACAGCGCGACGTCACCCAAAAGAAAAACTTTGATTCTTATTTCCATCAGACTGACTCCACTGCCAACCATATGACATCATCACAGTGCGACAGTGGTAACCTACATTACTAATCTTTAATATTTAAATACAAAATTCCCACTTGCTGTCCCATGATTTTATGTCACTACCACAACACAGAATTTTAGTGTGTAAGCAGAGCCTTATTTTAGCCACACCCTTGCATTTTAGAACAGGAAGGGAGACTGCATGCCTGTCCCTCATGGCCACATGATGAGCAGTCAGATCCCATTGTTTTGAAGTAAATGTGTCTCAAATGGGAAAATTAATGTGATTTTCTGCAACGATGTAACCATTTTTGTTCTTTAATAATTAAAAATTATGATTTTGTGTATGTACAACTGTTTAAAGCTACATTTATTAGTCATGTGCTGGCTAGTGTTTTTGAGTCATGCTCAATTGTCACTACCAAAACATTTGATAAAGTTTCTGTAGTGTTATGATTGTTTTGGTAGTGACAAAATGGAAAGTTCAGTCATTTATTTTAACAAAATAATCATAACTAAGGTACAAAAGGATTTTAGTCTAAAGTCTAAGTCAGTTAAAAGTCTGAAATGTGTCTTCTACTCTGACTCTGAACCAATTCAGTAGAATGATCCATATAATAAAAAAATCCATTTGGTTAAAAGGTTATATTTTAATAGCATTGGACATGATACAGTATTTAAAGGCATACATGTCAGCGTCCCCTTAAAGATTATTCACTTTTGGTTCCTGCACTGCCTAAGAACGGGGTACATTATGTGTTTTCCAGTATATTATTATTGTTGTTGCAGCTACTGTTATTATTAATATTATGATTCTTTGTATTATCATTAAACGTGCTTTCTTCATCACTATATTGATGCACAAATGCACTGAATTATCAGTGCAGTGAGTTTTAGTGTTATTGACCTAATACTGTTTGCTGGCTGAGTTGCTGACAGATCCTGTGGAATGTGGAATATTATATGCAGGTGGTCAGTGCATGAACGTGACTTTACATTAGTACACAGGAAGGCAGTGAGCAGCCCACCTGCTTCAAGTGCAAAAAATCTGCAAGATAAAATATCCCTTTTTTTTGGCTGCAGACACTGCATTCTGTGAACATCTGATACCTGAATGCTGAATGTAGTTCAGCAAAGCTGCTGCTTCACATTAGATTTGCCACCTCTGTTTTCTCTTTTTTTAGAAGAACTTGAATACATTCTTAGATCTCTGCTGAAAAGAAATATGCAAAAAAAGGCTTTGAAGAGAAAGTACAGCTCTAACAGTGGACAAAAAAAGAATGCAAAGAATATTCCTGATACTCCTTTGTGGACAACAGTAATTGTTGCCATTCCCCTCGGCGAAAGCTTTGCATGTTTTGGATCCAAGGTCAATTTCAGATATGCACCACAGCTGACTGTTATTTTTGCGGCTGATTTATTAAGACGGTGAGTTTTGTCTGTAAGCATGTACAAAATGCAGAAGAAACAGCAGCATGATAAACAACTGGTCAGTTGATTCAGTAGGGACAAAGATCTATGCTTCATCTGCCTGGGGCCATGGGGAGCATTCCTCCCTGTCAGCTCTAAAGCCAGCGTTGCACAATAACTCACAGAGTTAAAGCCAGATGCAAATCAACTCAGCTCGCTGTATATACAGACATATAGGATGTTGGTTTTTCTGATCTGATTCTCACTAATCTGGATGACAGGAAACTTTTCCTCCTGGACGAGGTTAAAGTGGTTTTATTATGTGATAATAAACATTAATTAAGTTAATTAACACCCTGTAATATAAAATTACCTTTGCTCGTAATTTTTGATACTCCACAACTCCCCTTCTTGCAAACAGTGTCCGTGGTTTTCCTGGATTCCACAGTTCTGTGGGAAAGATGAGAGCAACGCTGAACTCTTTGCAAATGTTGGAAGAATATATCATCCATCTCCAATATGATAACTTTTCAGGAGAAGGAAAAAAGCAATTCTTTAATTTTAATATAATTAAAATAAAGAGGTTTTATTACTAGCAGTTTTGGACCACATCTGCAAGTCTATTCATCATGAAATTTCACACAATGTAAAGAGCAGCTTATATTTTCAAAAAAGTGGAAATGTATGGTTTTGTTCTTATAGCAACAGTAAACTGGAGTTGGATCAAGCATTGCACTGATCTTTGTGATGGACTCAAAATAAGCTAGAGGTACATTCTTAAAAATGAAAATGCCAAAAGAGTTCTGTGGAGCCATGCTATAGGAGAACCAATTTTTCCAGTACTTGGTTCTTAAAAGAGCTGTTTTGGTAAATGAGATGTGAGTGTGAAGAACCTTTCTGAAGGTTAAGACCACATAACATTTCTGTATTGGAACCATACGTCCCAGCCAGTAACCATTTAGGAACATTTGTTTTTTTAAGAGCATGGACACAGCAGAGCTCTAGCTCTGGTTTCTGTGTGGGGGCCAGTCAGGGTCAGAGGGCAGCACACCATGAGAGGAGAACATGAGCTTCAGCGCTGTCAATATGGCTCATTTGGGAGTCCACATGGGCTTAGAGAGCTATAGAAAGGATTAGGCTTAGTTGTAAACAGCCTGTAAAACTGCTTTCAGCTCACAGATCTCATAGAACGAGACAACCTATTAATGACTATCATAATTAGAAAAGATAAAGTAGTAAACTACTACTACTACTGCTACTACTACTACTACTATGACTACTACTACTAATAATAACAATAATAAAAACAGCAACAAAATAACAAGACAAAAAAGACAAGATGAAGGCAGCGTAGCAAAAGCTGTCACAACTTCATTCAGCAGAAATCAGTCAGTAGGGTAAATAAGCAGTGGGATAGCAGACTATCCGTTCCTGCTGGGAACCCTTGAAATGTGAGTATTTAAGTGAGACGGGAATGTTGTTTTTGTATGAGTTAGAGGAGCTGATGCTGAAAGCGCTTTACCTGAGTGGAGGAGGGGGAGCTCCTGTGCTGAAGCAATCACAAGCGCAGCCTGGATGAGACAAATCCAGAACAGGACGAGCTTCATCTCTGCTTCCAAAACACGCACTCACACTCAAATGCCAGACGAAGCAGATACGAAGGTCAAGGAATATGAGCGAGGAGCAAAGCGATGAGAGAAGGTATCGAATACCACAAGTTTTTGGCGGAGGTCCTTCTGTAGTTTGGTCCAGCGGTCGACAGCATGGTGTATTATAGGGCCGCTGTGGCCCCGCCCCTAGCCTGGAGATTTAGGGGGCTTCACATTAACCCACTGCTCTGGAGACATGTGGCTTGGGGTTTCCACCCGTTGTTCAGTCTCTGTGTCCGCATTTGAAAGTTATTTGACTGTATTCTGCAGCCTCCTCTCCGCGGATGCTTACTTTTTTTGGACATTGGTGTCACTTAGCAGACAAACTCTTAGTTAATTACACAGGCAATGCCATTTAAATGTAACAGCCAATCATAAAGAACAGCTACAAAAGTGTCCATGAAACCCCCCACCCAAGAAAATGGAAGTGCTATGTGCAAGAAGACTTCAAAATGAATAATTCAAGACAGATATAATGGTCAAAACAGAAGGTCAGAATGTGTCACTGTCACTTTTCTTCAACAATGGTGTCGCTCAGATCCTTTAAACATTCTGATTGACATAAATAAACAAACAAACAAACAAATAAATGTATAAACTAATTCATACCAACTAATTCATATTAGTGTTCATGGCACTATTAATCAGTTAACCATTATCACTATTCAGCAACTCAAATCAGCATACATCAAATTACATCAGCTACTTATTGAGGGATAGGCTGCGTCCAAAACAGTATACTATACATACTACACTAGTGAATGAACTTCTAATGTTGATGCGCTATTTTGACAACTTACAGCAGTGTACAATTTTGGACTCAGCTATAATCACAGATTTGAATTACAGCTGCCTCTTATTTTATTATTCAGCCAGCACAGATCACACAGCTAACTAAGTCATATATGTTACCCGAAGCTAACATTACCGATTGAGGCAAAGTCAAATATAGCGAACAACTGGAAGGTGAGTCTACTAGACATTTGTTTATATTGGGGGGGCAATGCTGGGGAGCTTTTTACCCCTTTAGCCGATGTTTGGCATTGGGCATGGTGACCTAAGGCTTGTGTGCAGCTGCTCCAGAGTGTCTCATTCTACTGCCAGTGCTTTTCAAAGGACATTGTACGAGCTGTGCGTGACGCCTGTGTCAACGATGTGTGCAGCTTAAAGTAGTTGAGTTCACTAATTAGGAAACGTGTCTGAACACTTTTTGGACATACAGTGTATCAAAACAAAGACATTCTCCAACAACAACACCACCAAATTTCTTTCACACCTTGTAAACATTGCCTGCCAAAAGAGCTGCATAATGTGAAAACAAAGCAGAAGTGTTATTGTCTCCATTAAAACTCTTGGTACGAAAATAGCTTAATGTTAGATTTCCTAGAAAACACATTAAACTATGTTATGTAATGGAAGTTCATGCTTTAGGTTGAGATCATAAGATCATCCTTTTGGCAGCAGACAGTGACCAATAAGGTGCGTGAAAAACTCGGCGTTCCTGGCTTGTTATTTAAGTACGTTAGGCATTTCAGAATATCCCCTGAAGATGTGAGAACTGAGACGTATCTGGAGGATTTCAAAAACAGGCAAGCAACTCTCAGAGACGTAAAGTCTACATCAAGTTTGACTGGCCTTGTTTGGGCTTATCTAGTAATATCTGTGTGGGGAAAAGGTCAGTGGTTGGCTTGAAGCACGAGATGCCTCACAGCTGTAAAACACCGTATGACTTTTTAGTGTAGGAGTGTTTTCATTCTGAAACATTGCTTTGCCTTGAAGTGCCATCGAGCGTGCTGATTTAGTTTCCCCACATAACAAGAGGGGTCACTAGGAAAATGGAGTCTGCTGTTAAGTAACCGAGCCCGGGGAGATCTAGTAGTCCCTGTGCTGTGAGTGTGAAAACATTAGTTTAAGCAAGTGATATGTTGCATCATGCTCCAACCATGGAGCAGCTATAAATTGCATTTTATTCCAACCCATTCCAACCTATTTAAGGAGTTTTCTTTAGTTTTTTACTTCTCGTCCATCCGCTTTGTCCTTGGCACTAGCTAAGAAGTTTTTGTCTTGGCCCTAGACTCGGACTCTGTGGACTCTTTGTTTTCCCAGAGAAGACAAATCATTCAAGAAAACGTTTGACCTTTTTCATGATTTGCAGGTAGAGCAGGAAGCAGAAAAGAAGTCTCGGGTTACTCCCTTATGCGACGATTGAAAAAGCTTCTCATCACAGTTAATGAGCACTTGGCTCCACTTCACTCAGCTTTGAATTGGTTCCCCAGCCTTTCTCTGAACTTATTCCAATGGATTGCCCTTTATCCTGTTATCGTATCAGAGATCATGCACTTAGTCACATCAGCTTGACACCATAAGGAGTGCAGTAATGATTCATTTGACATGACTCAACTTAGCATCCGGCAGTCTGTGGAGGTTTGAAGGTTATGTAATGGTTAGTGTTAGTGTATAAGGACCGTAGAGTGTCATATAATATGCAGTAAATTTACACTCCCTCCTCGTAATATTCAGACAAACAAGCACATAACACTTCAGCAAGAAATGACTGTGAAAGTGTTGATATTAACCAGCCAAACACGCCATGGTGCCTAACAATGCACTGATAGCGATAAAGAATTATTATGGTAAAATTACATTACAGGAGTTATGCATTGGCAAAAGAGAATTCAAATGATTTGACAGGTTTAATATGACACTCTGAACTTTCTTACCCTTGAGCATTTTGTAAATACTCCCAGAAATGTTTCATAAGGCTATTAGCTATTGGCATATCACACATCACGAACGTCAAATGTTTAGGGTGAAAGAAGTCCTATAACTACAACCTTATGCTTGTGAGATTCTAGTAAGACCTGTTAGGGATTCAATGTTTTTATCTGGAACAGTGCTTGTGAGATTCTACTGATAAATAGTGATTTTATGTGTTAGTGTGTTCATTTAACCCTTTTCTTGTGGCAGCACAGTATTACTTGTAGTTATCATCCAGCACCTGGTTTGGCTAATCAACACTTAATTATGTTTTATCAGGAGTGCTGGTGATGGAATAAGGAGGGGCATTGTGGAGAGATCTCGAGTCAAACCTTGTTCCTCAGACTACCTCACGAGACATTAACTACTGTTTTGAAAAGACAAAGTGCTTGATTATCAGCAGCACATCAACAACATATCAGTGAAGTAGCAGTAGTGAAGCATCTGAATACATTGATGTAAATATCTTGTAGAAGTTCTCTTGATCCGTTACTTACATTAAGTAAATGTATTGTTAATATGTTACTTGCAAAACCCAACCCTAACCCTGGCCCTAATCCTAACCCTAACCTTAACCTCAACACCAAACCTAATCCTAACCCTAACCTTAACCTCAACACCAAACCTAATCCTAACCCTAACCTTAACCTTAACCTCAACCCAAAACCTAATCCTAACCCTCATATGTTTTGACATGTTACTGAGAGTCTGTTCAGTGTTTGTTTCATTTGAAAAGCACCACTCAAAATAAAGTGTCACCGGACCCACTTACAGCTGAGATAAACAGTTTTAAATGATGTGCTTAAGAAAAACTTAGAGAAGGTCTGGAAGCTGAAGTAAAGAGAGAAGGTACACAAACTACTGAAAAAATTGGAATTATATTCAGTTGTTGAGGCCCCTGTGTAATTTTCTGGTAAACATATGTTGTCTGCTTTCTTCCAGATGCTGAAAATTGAATATTTTGATGATGAACAACTCAAATTGTATCCAGCAAAGAGACGCAGTTGGAAAAATGAGTAGATCATTAAAATCAGCCAAGGTCAGTCCTCACAGCTTCCCTAAGTAAATTCTAAGTCTCAAATTTCTTATGTACGCGTACTTACCTCTCAGAGAATGTTTAATAAATAAAATGGCACAGTGTCAAGCATCTGGAGTGGAAACAATTGTTAAATGTGTGAAATAAATCAGTAAGCAACCACCAATCAGAAAGGTTCAATAAAGCCAGCATCCTTTTTAATGCAGTTTTAGTACATGTTTGTCTGGAGTATTTCTTTTCTTTTCGTTTCTTTTCTTTTCTTTGTTCAAGTATACTGCTGTATTTTGGAAATACTTGTTTTTCTTTGGACAGCAATGATATACACAGTCCCCCCAAAAACAGACATTACTAGACATAATGACAACAGGCCTGTAGCCCTGACCTCTGTAGTCATGTCTTTGAACATCTGGTCATAGCCCCACTGAAGGCCATCACAAACCCTCATTGCATTCCTTAAAGTTTGCATACAGAGCTAACAGATCTGTTGATGATGTGGTCAATTTGACACTGCAATTCATGCTACAGCATCTCGACAGTCCTGGAATCTACACTAGAGTTCTTCAAAACAAAGACCTCAAACATCTCTGTCGGTACAATTAGTTTGATAAGTGGAAAGTTCAAGGAACCACAATTAGTTGTCAGCAGACAAGTGCACCACACAAGATTTCACAACATGCTCTCAGATGATGATAATGGAAGGTAAGACAGGAGCCAGTAGTCACTAAATATCAAAAGGAAACATTAATAGAGTGATGTACTGAGAGATATTGGAGGAAAAAATAATCTCATGAGCCAAGAAACTGAATCTAAGAAGATTTTCTCTATTAATTTATTTTTTGTAAACATATATTTGTACATGCTTATGAAAACATAATATTTGTATATATTTATAAGTGCAAAGTGAAAAGACTTTATTATGTGTAAATCTGAAGTGGATATATACACTGGAAGTATATCACATAAAAAAAAGCAAAAGTTTCTGAATGTTTTCCCTCACTGTATATATGTCAATTGTAAAAGTTTTGATCGAACCTCCTTTCATACATACAATTATGCAGTGCATGCAAAATTTTCCTGGCATGTCCGGCTTCATACAGCAGCATATTAAAGAAGAATGAGAAGAAGATGGCATGAAAAGGAAAGAAAAGAACCCCAGACCAATGTGTACTAAAACTGCATTAAAAAGGATTTTGGATTCATTGAACCTTTCTGATTGGCGGTTGCTTATTGATTTATTTCACACACTAGACGATTCTTTCCACTCCAGATGCTTGACGAGGTCACATGTGGATTTATCAAACACTCTCTGAAAAGTAAATACACTT